CCCCACGCTTTTTCCGGAGTGCTCGGCGGCCCCGGCGGGCTCTTCTGCTCCGAGCCCGCGAAGCTGGTGTTGCTGGCGTCACCTCCGCGGGAAAGACAGGCCGAATGCGCACGGGGGTTCCACCCGTGGGTACCTTATCACGTGCGTATATATGTATATACATCATATATATATATATATATATGTAGCTAGTATAAGGTGGGCCTGGGGGGGGGCACAAGGTGGGCCTGGGGGAGGGGGGGGGGTTGACCCAAAAACATAGTATTTGGTCATAATATAGAGATGCATGTATACAAAAAAAACAAGTTCTCATTGCCTCAACACACATGTAGCAAACTCACCCTTTCCAGATGTGAGACTTGAAGCCGGCCGAGGAAAACAACAAACAACTTGTCTGACAATCCTTCCCACCATTTCACCTCTGTGCAGAATTGGTCGTCCTGTCGCTCTCTCTCTCTCTCTCTCTCTCGCTCGCAGTGCTGTGGAACTGTAGGAAGGCCTACCTGGTGGCAAACACGTGAAATCTGTTCTGTCCAGACGACATGCGGAGCCTACCTGGAAGCTTGAAATCTCAACGGGTCAGAAGGTCATATTTTCCCTCCTTTGCGGGCAAGAAGGGATTCGCAGGAGGGTTCCGACAGGGTCGACATGAAACAAAAACAACTCGGCATGATCTGTCGGGCAAACTCAGATCTCTCAAAGCTCCAAACGTGCACGCCTCGTTACAACAGTGACAAGGAGGCCCTTTCAAACAAGATGCCCATTACAGTCATTGCCCATGGTCACATGAGCCAAGGTCAATATTCACTGCGTCCAATTGATAGGTAAATGTGCGTCACGTTCCTACAGTAGATGACATTAAATATAGACCGGTGCTCGCATGATAGACCCATTTGAGAAAATCAACTTGCATCCCAAGCATTCAACCAGTTTTTGAGAACCTCCACCTTGATGTTCGACCAAGCAGGGAGTCGCTTCCAACAAGCGGAATCAATTCAACCGAGCCTTGGCAGTCCGACCCCCGAGCCTGAAAGTCCTCGATCTCTGTAGCTATAGCTGCTGTCGGCATCCGTCTGAATCTCTGCCTCAGCGAGAGTTGCGAATTGGGGGAAATGCCTTTCCACTGTGACACCAAGAAATGCCCCTTCCAAATCACCAAAGACGTTCTCCGGTATCACCAAAAGTGGGAGCCATCCCCTCCTCTGGCCCTGCAGACTCCATGTCGATCTCCTTGCGCCAATGACTCATGAGCATGTTTGAGAAGCCGGGCGTGACTTGGACCACAACGCGCCATGAGAAAGCATGAAGGCACGACTCTTGGGCAGCCCAAGGCACTATCAGTCACTCATAGCCACCAGGCTGCAATGGCTCCCCTTGGTATGTCATATATATATATATACCTGGACCTTCCGACATGTAAAATTAACGCCGTTTCCCAAAACAGCAATAATTTTCGCCGGTTGCCAAAAAGCGCTCGCCGTGAGTCCAGCTCGGAACCAGGCAAAAAAAAACGCCGTTTCGCCGGCAAATTACGCCGTTTTGACGGCAACTTACGCCGTTTTGCAATTTTGATTGATGCAAGAGTGTGCAAACACTGAAAACTGCCGGCAGGCGAAAATAATCGCCGTTGGGTCAACAGACATAGTTTTTGACAAAACAGCAATAATTTTGCACATGTTGGAAGACCCAGGTATTGTGAACCAACTCATCCAGCACACTTGGATGCGAGAACACCAAACGCACCGCTTAGGTGAAGATGCCCACACTGCCTTCTACGACTTCCGATCTTTGGGCTGTTTGCTGGGTATCCCCGACTTAGGACTTTTTGCAAATCCTTTGGGTGAAGGCAGAACCCCGATCCTTGCCGAGTGCCCTCGTCGCATCGGAAACCCGTTGCGGCTGAGTCCTGCTGAGTTTGAGAAGCCATCAGAAAGGTAGCAACTTCGATAGGGGACTGTTTGGTGGCTGCTTCCCTATTGAAAATAAGTGCCAGAAAGCGATCTAGAGGAAGCTGGGGAACTTGGTGTCCCAACCCCCGAATTCCCCACCCCTCTGCGCTTCCCGGCACGGTCGGAGTCGTTCAGCCGGTGCGGCGCGGATTTGGAGCGCTGCACGCTTCGGGCCTCCTGCAATCGAGCCCTCTTGACATTGGGAACCAATGTAAAATGGTGTTCCAATGAGTTTCTTTTGAAACAAACCTAAAAGGGATCACTGAAAATCACGCACCCCTTTGCGATTTCTCATCAGCTACTCTCCTATTTGCTGTGGATGCCCAATCTCCTTCGAGTTTGACAGGAATCTCCTTTGGAGGACCTTTCCAGAGCTCCAGTGGCCACCGTAAAATAGCACCCGGGTTTTGTAGCTGATGTTACTGGGACCCCGTTCAAAGCTCCCCGCTGGAGATCTGAGATGTTGGTTTGCCAGGTGGCTTAAGTCCACCGCAAAGCGTAGGTTAGCACATGTGTTTCTGTTGCGTGGCTCCTGTTTATCATAGTCAGCAACATGCAGAGATCAGAACAAAGAAACGACAACGGCACTCCAGTTACTCGTGCCAAACCCCCAAAACACCTCATGCCCTAATGGTCGACATACCTCCTAAGAATGTACTCTGGTGGGTCCAGCAAAAATGGGGTGATAAACCTCCTTTACTGGGGGGTTGGCGGGTTCACAAAACCCACTTGTAGCACAACTTTGATGGCCAAGTGGGTGTGGGTCAGAATTAAACCACTAGGGGACCGCAGGGTTTTAGTCCATGTGTCCATTTACAGTTTTCCATTTTGGGTACCTATTTTTGACCCACTGCCAAGTAGAGATCATTGCCACATCCCCCCGCCCTCGCCTCATGGCAGCGCTCATCCAAGAAGCCGTTCTTGACGACCTATCAAACGGATGAGCCAAGGATGCCCGGCTGCCCTAGGTGGGGGAAAAAAGCACCCCTGACTGGGAAACACGTCTTCCAGAGATTGTTAAGGGGATGGGCATGTGCGAAATGAATGCACCCCATGAAAGAAGGTTTCATTTAGAGGACGCGATCATGTTTCCAAAGAGGGCCACAGTGAAAACCTGTCCCAAATCACCACACGGGTGTTTCCCAGAAGACACCAGAAATTGCTGGCTTTCCTCATCTTTCTCATTGAAACAACATCCAACATGCGGTCACTAACTCTAGATGCACAGAAAGCAATTGACCTTGGTAGCCTTGGTAGATTGCACAGTTCTTCTTGTTGCCACTTGCAAAAACTCAGGAAATCCACCATACCATCCTTTCTCCTTCGAGTGGCCAAGGAGTTGCTGCCCCCAGGTCTACATACCCCCATTCAATTCGTGTGACTGAGGAGCGCGACCTACCCCAGCTGTAAACCAAGCAAGCCCCGTAGCACCACCTGAAATGGAAGAGCAGTGAAGCTTGTGATCCCATATGGGGCAGAGGAGCAGAAGAAACCTCCGGCCCTTCGCACCTTCAACGTGGCTCAGTGCGCCCCCACAGTGGGATCTTCATGGGTCAATAGCTACTTGTGCAGCCGCCGAGGTCTGGGCAATTACGGGCCCACCGTCCAGTTGCCGGTGGTATGTCACCTGAGCAGCAATTCGACAGCTAGGTAGGACAGAAGCTGAACATCCAGTTGTGGTGGGATGAGGGGACAAACTAAACCAGCATGTCAAAAATGATTCGACAAATAAGTAGACCATCCTTTTCAAATAACTCGTTTTCTTGAAAACGACCACACCCAGCCATTTCCAGTCCAACAGTCTCTAGGCCCTCCATAATCCCTTAATCCCGTCGGTTGCTCCAACTGTCCCTTTCAGAAAGGAATGCAAGACCAGACAAATGAACTCCTAAACCAAAGGAAGCAAGCTTAAAACGAGGCTCATCCAATTCTGGGTGCTTGCATTTCACCGATGGATGGTGCTGAACCCCGACCAATTGAGGGGTCCAATCTTCGCTTTTGGACGCACCCATGCTACCAGGGGTACAGTTACTCAGGAAGGGCTCCTTTCCCACATCAATCTTGCACCCTGAAACATCTCAGCGTGTGGCATCTACTTTCACCTTGGAAAAACTCCCAATCCAGCGGGTTGGAAAAACCTTGCAGAATATGAGGCACCCCTGGAAAAAAGCGTCCGATTGGCCGAGGCACACTCATGGCGCCCAGCCCATCAGGCCCCATCACGGACCCATCAGGCCATTGGCCTTGAGGCGACGCAAGCTGCGGGATGCGGCGCGAAGAAGGTCCCTTCACCTGGCGCGAACGCGGGAAGGCCTGGCAGGACTGCGGACGGTGGCCGGGGTGGTGTTCGGGCTTGGGCTGAAAATCAGGGGACCAGATTGACCCCACACTATAAATACATTTAGGATAATCATGAGCTACCAACCTAAAATCTTAGAGACTAATAGAATGGACACAACAAAAAGGAATGTTTCTGGACGAAAGAGCTGGCAGACCCCGGGATGGTGAAGCCGTCGCTGCTGTAAGTTGCACACATGCATGTAGAACATATTCAAGTTTCGGCAACAAATAGAGGACCTCCTCGGAAACATGGAGAGGTGTGGTAAGTTTCTGAAACATGAAGCTTGGAACCTCCCTAGATGTACGTCTGAAGACGTTCCCTTGAATTTCAACCGAAAACTCATTGGGTCAAGATGCTGTTCCTTTAGGGAGAATATGGGTTTATCTTTTCGGGGGTACCCCTGTTTGGGCCATTTTACGAAAATGACACAAGGGACCTGTTCAAATTTTGGACCCACATAGCCTTTGAGTGGGAGACATCCGCCAGCCTCACCTCAACGACCCGAGGGGTAGGGACCCACCAAACCGGGAGTTGGTGAGTGAAATCCACTGAACCAAGGGCAGATTGACCGTGCAGCAGTTGATCAGTGCAGTAGGGGTTCACAGTGGTCAAAGGGGTATCTGGGCCCTCCCTTTAGAAGCACCCTCTCAAAACATACTGAAAGGACCTGGGGTGGTGGGCGCTGTGAAAAGCGCAGCCGGCCGAGAAGCCCGAAACTCTTTGAGGAAGGTGTCGCGGCTCTGGCGCGCCAGCTCCACATAGCCCAGGGGCGCCTATGCTGCTCTCTCGCTCTCCCCCAGCGCAGTTGGGGCAAAGAGCAGGGCACGTCTTCCGGCCTGCAAGCAAGCCTCCCTGTACCATTGACAAAGGCCTGTGCTTCCAACACTGTATGTGTTTTGCGGGGAGTGGCTGGACTTGGAAATTGCAACATGCATCCACATGCCATGCCTCATGTATGCAAGACAGCGCGATTGCTGCCGCATCATTTCACCAGTTTTCCACCCACTTATGATTCTGATACCATTCCATAAGTCAACCCACCCCACCTATCAATGCTCACATTGTTCTGATGGTTCAACCGTTGATCGTGGCAAATTGCCATACTTCAGAATCTGGAAACAAGAGCCCCCCTCGCTGCAGGACCCAGCTTGGACCTCCAGGAGAGCTTGGTAGAATTTGTGCAGAGGACTTCCATGCCGTCGTTTGGCATGCTGCAACCCTCACGGTCACAGGATGGCTAGGATCCGAGTACAACTTTCTCAGTAGCTAAGTATGGCCATAGAGTATAGGGATACTGGGACATCTTTAGTCTGATCAAGGTACTGCGAGTTTCCAATGGTTGAACCCTAGTTTTGTTTCAGCCTTCGCGCTTTTGAGAAACCAGCCAATGTTCTTGGGATTTCAACCATCTCGCATCTTGCAAAAACGACGATCCCTGGACAGAATGGGGAAATCACAGCTAGCGCGACTGGTGGCACAACTTGCTAGGTTGCCATCTGTCCTACACGCGCCCGAGCCTCTGACATGAGGGCTCTGCCCCTTGGTGCCATTTTGGACAACTAGATGCCCCTGGTAAAGGCTTGAAACCAAACTGAAGCTTATGGAATCCAGTCGTGTTCAAGCAAACACAACATAAACGGACCACTATGGCTTGCTTGTCCTCAGCAGGAAACAATTGAATGACCCAATGTGAACCATTCTTTGTTGAGAGGTGTTTGAGGGGATCCCTACATTCATTCCCAACGCTGCAACTTCCTCTGTCGGAAGGCAGATCGAGATCGAGGCGTCCGTGCTGCCTGCGCTGCATGGACGATGCCTTGCAAGGGCGACACCTGCTGCATCACTGCTGCGACAGCCTCGAGAAAGACGCGAATGTGTCTGGGTTGCACTTCCTAAGGATCCTTGGGGGTTGGTTTCGCTTTAAGCCACGCTACTCTGATGTGGCCTTCATAAACCCAGTCTGTGGACCTCCCAGAAATATGGCGATGAACCGCCTACCAGCTGTTGGGAAGCTGATTTTGCCATTCACTGGCAGTTTCCACACGAACTGCCGGCGTTGGAGGGAACAGGGTGAACTCAGGGGCCCCTGCTTCGATGTTCCACCTTTCAAAGTTCGTGATTTCACCATGGTTATGTGTGAACCAACCAGCCAGTTGTCCCACTGAAGAATACCGGTCATTATATATGCTTACGCTTATACATATATATATATACACGCCCAAGACGGATGGTTTGCCGTCGGCTCCAATCTTACTACATTTGCCAAGCCATCTTTTCACGCGTTCAACCAAGGCAAATGCTCTGCAACGTAACTTTCACGAGGGGGAAGCTTCACTTTCCCTTGTGAAAGAGCCAGGCGGTAGGCTTTGCAAGCCAGTACCACGGTATTAAATCCCGGCATTCTGTGCACGTCACCTATACACATCTTCACATGCATGATGTTGGCTGAACCGTCCAGTGAAGTGGGCCAATGGGAAGTCTACTTGAATAAGCTTGGACTTGCCTCGGGCGGCTGTCTTAATGTCAGGGAAGCAATCAGGGATTGGTTGACAAGGAACCACCAAGTCTATCATTTGGAGGGGTTCCTACGTTCCTACACAATGAATGGCTACGTATTCTCAGTGACAAGGGTAGGATCAAGTGGGAGTTCCGCAAGGAGTACCGACGGTGTAGCTAAGATTAAGGCGCGTACAAATTCAAGGTGAGCCGCTGCCAAAATTATTTGCTTCCCCAAAAGGTCATTCAACAAAAATCCGTGAGTCGACTGGCTTGTTTGTGGAACATTACGTCAGTCAATGTCCCTCCCAACTAAACCATAAACTGGACATGTTGATTGAACCTCAGTTGGCGTCAAGAGTGGAAACCATGTTAGAGGCATTATCAACCTGCCTTGGTACAACTCAAGACTCAATGGCCCGCAGGTGCCTCTAGATGTTTTGCAAACTCTTGGTACACCCAGGATAAGATGCTCCGATTCTGCTTCATGCTTAGTGTACTCTGAGACGCATTCTGGAGAAGACCCCAGTAACGCAGTATCCGAGTAAACGCGTATCCCAGGAAAAAAAACAACCTTTAACATGCCGGAGCGCTTCCAGGCAGCTGGATATTTGAAACGTCGCACGTCTGGACATCAATCACCAAACTCCACATGCGAATCAGTGGGCCTTCTCACATGTGTGTGGAAGGATGCTCTAGCTCAAGATGGTCGCCGCGTTTGGTTGGCTTCGTGATCTTCCAATTATGTCCAAAGCCACATACCCCGTTTTGAGGCATACGCATATATCTCTGCTCATGGCAATGATATCTTCGGACTAATCTGCATTACTAATCAGGGGTGGTTGCCCCTTTGAGGAAGATCTACTTCTTGGCGGTCCTGTGACTAGTCAGCGGTGGTTCCCCCTTTGAGGAAGCAAGTGATCCATTTTCGGGTGCTCCTCTGATTAGTAGGGTCCTCCCCATCAACCCGAAGTTGACACTAAGCTCATTCAGACCTAGTCGCAACGCATGTGACGCACAGCTATTGCTGGCCTCTGCATCTGCCACGTCAGCTCGGATCCTGGGAAACAGGCTGAAACGATGTTGACCCCGAATATTCATGAAAACTGAAAAATACATGGTGATATCCCCGAATGTTCTTTCCACCGGATGAATTCTTTGATATACTTGAAAAATTAGTCAATATAGGGTGCCCAATAAATGGTGTTCCTTCTCGTTTCCCTCTAAAGCAAGCTGAAAAGGGCACCGAGCCTCAAAAAGAAGCACACAAACACAGACACCCAACTAGGATGGATCCCCGAAAAGCAAAGAATAGCCTCTAGAATGGCACACCCCTCTACTTTATTTTACTGTCGAAACAGGGGGTTACCTAGCATGGGTTTCCATTGGCAAACATAGGAGAGGATTTGCGCTCGCTGAGTGACACAATAGACGGCGCTCGCTGGAGGCACACCCAAACGTCCTCTCGCGAAGAAACAGTCCGCATCGGCAGTAAGAAGCAGCTCTTTCCGTTTTGCGCACGTTGAGAGTCACTGTGTTTGCCATGTTCCTTGAGGCTTGGGGAGCGGTAGCAGTGCTTACCCAGATGGCTTTGCTTCGTGGCAGTGTCTTAATGTGCATAATACACATATAAATCATCACAGTGTTTGTGTTAACAAAAAAGTCAGGTGGCGTTAAAACAAAATGATCAAGCAATACATACATAAATAAATACACTGCTAAATCAACAAATAAATAATAAACAAACATGTGTATATAAAAACAACATAAACAAAAACAAACAGAACAACAGATGAAAGACAAAATGAATAAAATAAGGACAACAAACAAACAAACAAACAAACAAACAAACAAACAAACAAACAAACAAACAAACAAACAAACAAACACACAAACACACAACACATAGATAGCTAAACACAAAAAGCAAGTTACTAAATAAACACATACTACATACATATCACATAATCACACAAATGAACAAACACATGAATAAGGTCATACATGACTGAATAAAACAAAACAAACAACACCATGAATAACGTGATCCATGAATAAATTCTAATCAACAAACTACATCAACAAATAAATACATCAATAGATATGTACATCAATGAATAAACACAACACAACGGGGAAACAAGCAACAATATGTCAAGAACCATATGTATCTACATATATATATATATATGTATGACTAGGTGACAAGAAACCAATAATCAAAGCACAAACTAACTCAAACACGTGAATCTATTTATAACACATATATATATATGTCTAGCCTCAGCGCGCTGTTGTCCTCCTTGACAGGTACTGTAATCGTCACCCGTACCGACTTGCAGACCTCCATGACATTTGGTCACAAACAAACGAGAGCAATGCCTCATGCGTCTGACTTTCCCAGCTGCAGCCTCTGCAAAGAGCTTATTGCCTCAGAAAATAAGCACTTTGCCAGCTTGGCATTTCTTGTTCGCAACGCGATCAGTGCGGGTCACACTCATGGTTCCCTTCTTTGGAATGTTTGTAGCTTTGGTCTCAAATTTACTTGACAGTTTCACAACCATCTCTATGGCACGGGCAAACACACGCATATCTCCGTCCACCCTGCAACTTGCTTCACATCCGGCCCAAAATCAAGCCGCGACCCGTCCTCTGCAGCTTCACTCCTGAGCCTCGGGAAGGGACTCTTCAAATTCTACACATGCTACAATCAGAACTTGGGTTGAAGGTTAGGGGATAGTTCCAACCAGAAGTAGGTGGGGCAAAACCGCCCTTTTGATTATGACTCACAAGCCCCGGAAATAGTGATGGTGCCGTTTAGTTTTTCCTGCAGAAATACCAACCAACAAAGGCAATAAGCTCGGCCCCATGAAGGTCTCTTGAGGATTCCAACATTCATGGCGAGCTCACTTGGACCGCACGGGCTCTAGCCTTCTAGCGGCCGCCTTGTGCGGGACATGGAAACCCGCGACATGCGAATGACAAGATGGTCACCGGCGTAATGATCAACTTACTTGGTCACAGATTTGATTTGTCGTCCAGAGTGGGCACACGAAGCGGCACTGAGGGTAATTACCTTGCAACCTCGATATTGCACCAGGATCAGCTATTGATCGGGAAGCACAGGCAGTTGGGTCATATGCGCGGAGCCCCAACGTTGTCAGCGAAGGATCTGGCGACAGGTGCACTTTGTGGCATTCAGCTGCATGTGGCTCAGGCAAAGATCAGATTGCGCATCGTCCAAGGACAAGTTGTTTTCAATGCAGCCACTCGCCACCAAGTCCACCGTGGTCAAGGGAAGGGCGAGGAAGGTCTGAGATCACCTGAAATATGGACAAGCGGATATTTGTCTTGCTGGCGGGCAAGCACTGGAGAGGCTGACAGGTCGACGCTTGAACATGTGGCGGTCAGTGCTCATAATCAGCAGATCCTGATATCCTGGAACATATCATGGTATGGTCGCCGTCTACGGTTGGGCCGCGACATGCGGCCTCGCACTCAACTCTCGACGCGACGCGGCCAAAGCTCGCTCACTTGCGGCTAAAACGAGGGCATGATGAAGGTCCTTTACTTGGGGATATCTGATTTCATCTTTTGGATAAATTAGCGTTGTGTTGGACCCATGGCCTGTGCAAGTCGGGCTTCGGTAGCCGCATTTGGGGTCACAACAGAGGTTGACAGCCCAAAAAATGGTTGACTTCTCGACTTCCTTTAACACGAAATGGGGGCTCCAGAAACACAAGGCACTCGCCAAAAACACGTAAACCCAACAAGCACAAGAACGTAGAAGGCGAAGGCAGGCTTCTGAAACGTTGATAGCTAGGACCTCCTGCTCAGGCTGGATGTCAAACTGAAGTAGCATTTGAGACCATGGTTGGTAAATTAAGTAGCACAAAGGCTTCTATACGCCTTGTTATAACCTCCATGAAACCAGGTAGAAGAATCATCGAGTTACTGAAATGGCCGCTTTTTTGAAAAGGACTTGTCAAGAGTCAGGATCCATGCGGGGATGTGGGTGATAGGGTCCACTCCTGCCAAACTGTACGAGTCCCTCTCCGACCGAACGCACCGGGCTCCCCAGCTCTCGAGCTCTTCAAACAGCGCGTGCTCCTAAAGGAAAAACCCACCAGAGGGAAGCATGGAAAAGCTGAGGACATGATTGAGCTGCCGACGAAGACAGAAGGGAACTGAAAAAATGAAAATCCCTGGTGAAGGTGGTACAACCGTAGGGGTATGTCACTGAGTATGAGCTAGCTCCTGGTGACAACCGTTCCGATCCAACCGGCAACATGTTCAGTTGGATTTCATGTTCCAACATCTCGGCGGTCTACTGGCAAATCCGCCACCCGCAGGAAGGTAAGCAGCCCGAGAGCAGTGAGCTGGAGGATTGCGAACCAAGCTGTAAGTGGTCTCGTCAACCAACATACTGACAACATATTGCCAACCCAACATTCCTGTTCAATAACTGCCTTTAGGCAAGTGGTTGGGTTTTCCCACCAAAACTTTGGACCAAGATTGTAGGCCTAGTTGTCAAAAACCCTTTCTTCAACCCCATTTCCTCCCAAGGAAACAACAAAGGAAATCGCTTGGCCGCCTGAGAGTTCAGGACAAGTGGGGTTCTAAACCTACTTCTATTTGGTTAAGACCCCAGGAAAAACAAATACACATATTTCCAGTAGTGATAGATTCCCTTTAAAACCAACAGGGGAAAATAGAACATATTCTTAAGCAAATGGAAGCCTACTAACCCCTGGTGAGAAGAAGCTAAAGCCCCCCTTACCAAACCCACAACGTGGGGGCCAAGTGTCTCCCCTCGCCGAACCTCCCAGCCCTTCCCCCGCCTGCACTGCGATCTCCCCACGCCGGGAGAGCAGGATCAAGCCCTGGACAGCGTTTCGAAGCGCGCCGCAGCTCCAGGGGAAAAGACAATGCACAGCCCAAGCTGGTACTGCAAGGGCCTCAATAACTTGAATGGACTTATCTCTTCTTCTTTTTTGAAAGAGAAAAAGAAACACATGTTATTAAAAAAAGAAGAAGAAGTCACGGTTAGATGAGGAAGCCAGTAGTCATTTGTTCAGCTCCTGATGTTGAGTGCTGCGTGTTGCTGTGGACATGCCACCATTCATGGATCCAGTTGTTTGGATGGCTTTTGACTTGTACCTTGTTTGGGAACTACTCAAGGGAACCACCCAGAGGTTCGAACAAAGCAACTTCTGATAGCATTTTGCAACCGCCAGGTGCTGCAGCGGCAGTTAGCAAGGGCTGGTTCTACCCATCGGAGTCTGGTTTAGATGAGTCGTGCTGCTTCTCAGTCTAGTTCTAATCTCCCGGGCCCGTCTATTTTCCCAAACACCTATGAAAGGGCCCTTCTTTTTGGGGTCTTGAACCCCAAACATGTCCTGTTCCGGGATCTATGTTTTACCTGGCCTGCAACCATTCCCGGCTACCAAGGGGGCAAACAAAGAAAAGGGCAAGGTATCCCAAGGATCCACCTCTTTAAGGCACGTACCCAATGGACATTTAGGCCACGTATCCACTAATTAAGGGACATGTGGTGCAAATTGTTCCCATCGCTGGATCTGCAAAGTTACTACTTGTGTTCCCACAATCGGATCTGACAACCCCGAACATCAATTGGTCATAAGGAGTAGACCTGAAGTGGAAAACCAACGGATGCCCTGCTACACATTTCTGGTCCCTCCATTTTTCCCACAAGGGTGTTCGAAGGCCAAACCCAAAAAATGCGGAAGCCTTGCTTAATTCTAGCCAAAATTGTAGTGGAAGTATTGCAACATCCCCCGACAACAAAGTAGCCGGCCAGCAGGTCTCCCTACCTGCCTTTTTTCAGTTGCCCCAGGGAAATGCAAATCCAACATTGGCAATCAAATGGAAATGATTGAACCACCAGCTTCTTTTGAGTATCAAGGAAGACTTGCACCCAGGGGTTTCTTCTTTTTCGGGAAATCAACTACCCTGGGATTTGGCCGACGTCGGGCAAAATAATTAAACAACCTAACCGTGCGAGACCCCACCTCTGCGGGCAGGGCAAGCGCTGCAAGGAGACCGATACCTGCGGAGAAGTCTTGTTCTTGCTCAGATTTCAATGGCCTGGTGTCCAAGCAGTTTGCAGGGATCAAGTGGGGAGTTAAGCCACTCAGCTCACTCCGTGCCGATGAAAGGGTTTAGGGACATCCACTTACTTTAGGGTTATCCACTACCCTTCAGCCAGCCAACCACTTCGCCAATGCCCAATGCCCACACCCCAAACCACGGGTTTGCGCAACGAGTCCCATGCCCCAAACCCCTTCGGCCTCCGGTGCCGCCGCTGATCAGGTGCCAGCCGAAACGCGGCGGGCGCCGGGGAGTCCTCCTGGCTGGGGGTATCCTGTGCACGTTGGCTCAGAAAAAGCAAAAGGGCAAACATGTCTTTTTGTTTCGAGGGTGCCCTTTGCAGGTTGGTTCAAAACAAAACAAAAGGACAACCCAATTTGTATGAGCCTCTATTTGGACACACAATGGCCGTGTAAACAGATACCAAAACACTAAGCCAGGAGTCCACAGGTGGTTGGACAAAACTTATTTGAACGAGCAGTCCTGAAATTCAGCTTGAATCAACCAAAAGGAGGTCGTCCCCACAATGTGCGGTTTTAACACGTTTCAATCAGGGCTCCCCAGCCGTGGAAGTCCCCAGCCTGGGTCTCCAACTCGCCAGAACGATACCAAACGCTCACCAGTTGGGGGCTACTGGTCTACCACGACCTGAGCGCACGAACCACAGCCGAGGCAAGGATGAAAAGGTTTGCTGAATGCTGAGAAAGCAACCTGCTTCTCCGACATGGCTGTGGATTGATGCACACACACACACACACACACTTGTTTTGTC